ACGGTAATTTGTTCACCAGATTTGATCGGTCTTGTTGTACGCATTACAAGTTGAGCACCATTGAACAATGATGTAACATTTGGTGAACAGGAATGTTTCAATTGTGATTCGGCCAAATATAGACCTGAGCCCAAAGATTGCATTTCATAATTGAAAATATCTATGCCATATTCGTAACATAAATGAAAACATGACATCATTCTTTTCGGATCCCATTTTATTTTCAGCAATGAGTATTGTTGGCTCATAAACAAAAAACCTGAAACTGTATCTTGATTAATGGTTGGAATCATCCGATTTATAATATCAAAAATGCATACGGATGAATTTTTATCGTTTAAAAATTTATGCTGTTCGTACAAAAAAAATGGATTGCGTTTCAAGTACAGATGCAAACGTAACACAAATCGAAAAAATAAATCTGATTGTCCAGTCGATTGGAGTTGATCAAAATTTTCTTTATAAATTTTACATTCCAATTTATGTTGATTCCAATCTTTTTTCTGACAATCATTTCCACAATAATACATTTTTTTGCAATTGCCACATTTTCCAAATTCATTACTTTTGCTTTAAAGAACAGATTATTTAAAGAATATTTTGTTTCGAAATGAAAACTAAAAACAAAACTTACCATTCAACGAAACAGTAATCACAATTTTTACCTTTAAATTCTTTTTTGAGAACATGGACAAATGGTAAACTCACGGATACTATTTCACCAGCTTGATAATCACGATTAGTTGCCATTGTTTTCTGTTCAGTTTTCAGTGATAATCTTTGACGAATGAATTTAGTTAAACTTTTAGAAATGAGAAATTAGTTTGAATATTTCAAGTCAACTTGTTGTTGTAAAATAGAAGATTTAGAAATGAATGAAAAGCTTTTCAATAAAACTTTCGATTTTTATAATTATAGCTGAGTGGAAATTTCGAAATCATCATTCGGAGGTACAGGAAAATAAAGACAAAACAAAAACATTCAACAAATGTTTCGATAATCGATACATTCGTTCATCACATTTTAGACAAAAAATCAATTTTTTTTTCAAAAAAACCTTAAGGTTTATAAACAAAATATGTTTTTTTAATGTAATGGATTAAATATAAAAAATATGATGATGTTATTTAAAAAAAATTTTCAATTTTTTTTAACATTAAATTTAACATTTGCCAATGCTTTCACAAAGGTAACTTTTGCTTTTTCCTCTCGATTGAAATAGATATTTTCGAATATTTCCTTGTAAACAGCCGGAAGTTCAATTTCAAGTTGTTTTGCCAGTTCTGCAACTGATAAGTCTTCAACATAATTGTGAATTTTTACATAAATTTCCAACATATGTATTTTATGTATAAGTTGATGAAAATGACATTCACTACGACATATCTCGTTACATATTGGCATCAATTTCTTGCCAATTTTATAAATTTCTTTGCAATCATTTGACTCAAATGCTGACTTAAATTCACTGATCAATTGTGGATATTCCGGTGATAAATGAATTTCATTTTCCGATACACATTTTTCACATTGATATTTTAAATTTTTTCGAAACAT